AGTCCAATCCCTGTCTGAAGAGTTGGCCTCAGAAACTGTTTTAGTTCTGGGCTGATAGAGAATCCAGGGACCATGCTTTCAGTGGTTCTTCCAGTCTCAGACCATTAAGTCTGGTCTTCTTACGAGAATTTGAGTTCTGTATCCCACCTTTCTCCTGCTCCATCCGAGACTCTCTGTTGTGTTCCCTGTCAGGGTGGTCATTGGTGCTAGCCAGGCACCATCTAGTTCTTCTGGTCTCAAGCTGATGAAGTCTCTGGTTTATGTGGCCCTTTCTGTCTCTTGGACTAATACTTTCCTTATGTCTTTGATGTTCTTCATTCTCCTTTACTTCAGGTTGTTGGGACCAATTGATGTATCTTAGATGGCCGCTTGCAAGCTTTTAAGATCCCAGATGCTACTCACCAAAGTAGGATGCAGAACATTTTCTTAATAAGCTTTGTTATGCCAATTGACCTAGATGTCCCCTGAAAGCATGGTCCCAGACCCCTACCCCCAAAAAGCAGCTCTGTTTTTAAATAGCCTTTCTGTGTTGTGTTGTAATGCAGTGTGTGCATCGTATAGATAATATTTTGACACAGAAGCTATTAACTTTTTATAAATCCAGTAAGATTACAAAACACCCAGATTACAGGATTGAGGAGGGAAATGACGATAATGATGATGGGCCTCTTTTTCTAGAAACGTTGTGGCAAAGGGAAAAAGAAAAGGCAAGATCCTGCCAAATTAAGATAGGGACGATTAGAGTACATTTTTTAGCAGAGAGGAAAGAAATTGTAGAAGACAAAAATGGTACATTTAGAAGGAGAATGTGTAAAATAGTAGCTAAAGTCTCTCCTGGAGTCAAATTGATGAGATTCAAAATCCCAGATTCAGTACTTAATGAAACCAAACCAGTTGAACTGTGCTCCATAGGGTTTTCAAGGCTGCAGCCTTTCAGAAGCAGATTGTCAGGCCTTTCTTCTGAGGTGCCTTTTGGTTAGTAGTTGACCATTTAACTGTTCGAGCCACCCAGTGACTCCCAGTACTTAACAGCTGGGTATTTAATTTTTTGTGTAAGTTAAACATTCATATGATTTTTTTTTAAATAGTATTAAAAACATATATATATAATTGGGTGTCTTCCATTCGTGTCAACTGGACGCCTATTTCACTCCCCACTGACAATCTGTTGCAAGTTTCTCATGTATCCTATATGAACTTATATATAAATATGAATACATATTCTTTTAGTCCTCACAATGGAGATAACCATATTATCTGCCATATAGATGTTGAGGATTAAGTTAAAATGTTTTAGCATGCAGTTCCTGGAGCACAGAAAGTGCTCTTCCTAGATGATGGATCAAGGTCCCCAAGGAGATGGAATGGTATCAGAAGCATATTATGTAGTCTTGGGAAGGAGGAAGACTTCTTCCTCTGACTGGGAGTTAGGAGGAAGGTATTAGTAATACTGAAAAATTTGAGGTCGATGTTGGGAAAATTTGAGAGAATTCATGTTTTCTAGCCTGAGTTTTCTAAGGAAAGAAATTAGCCAGGTCTTTAGTTATTCCATAGGAGCCCTGGTGGGGTTCCGCGCTCAGCTGCTAACCAAAAGGTCAGTGGTTTGAACCCACCAGCAGCTCCGAGGGAGAAAAATGTGGCAGTCTGCTTCCATAAAAATTACAGCCTTGGAACCCTATGGGGCAGTTCTACTCTGTCCAATAAGGTCGCTATTAATCGGAATCGACGACAATGAGTTTGGTTTGGGTTTTATTTACTTTGTATGTTCAGATATTATCCGGTAAAGACTACAATAATCAGGTATTCCTGCTATGTTTGTCCTTTGAAACATTGCTTTGTATTCTGCAAAATCTCTTACTAGAATAATGACTTTATGGGAAAGATAGTTTGGGGCAGAACCTCTGCAACTTTTTAATCAGAGTACTAACAAAAACAGTAACAAACTTAAGGAAAAAAGCGCAGTTAAAGTGACATGTTAAATTCCTAGTAAATGAGGAAAAATACTACAGTAAATATAGAACTTTAAAAACAAAGGTGAGGATAGCTTGGTAGAATGAGGTGTGAGGAAGTTGTGGAGGCAATGTGCAGAAAGACCTAGGAGAGCCGGGCAGTAAGCACTTCCCAAACTGAGACAGGAGGAATGTGCATGGGCACAGTGGGCGTAAGGCATGTGGACCAGTCAGGGTTCCTCAGTGGCTTTGCTGCATTTACTTCTTTAAGCATGCCTAATTATGCAAAAACATTTACACACTAGGGAAAAATCTCTCTTGAAGGAAAGACTTCTGATTTATACTGACCTTATTCCCCCGCTTACCAATTGCATGTGTGCTAACTTGTATCATAGAAACTTGTGTTGTAGTAGAACAGACTCTTTTATAATGTGGTATTTACTCTGGCTTGATAGATTAATTGGTTGCCTTCCTTATCATGCTAATAATTGCCATATCTTTTTCCCTTTAGGTGTGGATGTCAGCATGAATACACATCTTAAAGCTGTGAAAATGACCCTGAAGAACAGAGAACCTGTACAGCTGGAAACACTGAGTATTCGGGGAAATAACATTCGATACTTTATTCTGCCAGACAGCTTGCCTCTGGATACACTGCTTGTGGATGTTGAACCTAAGGTGAAATCTAAGAAAAGGGAAGCTGGTAAGTTTGAAGAATTATCAGTTTGTGAATGGTGCTTTTATACCATTATTCAGTATTCAAAATATAGACATTTATAAACAATAAAAATTGTTGTAGTTTAAAATTTCCTTTTTTTGGCAGGGCTGCATGTCAGTATTTATTATAGTTCCTGGTGTTGCTATTAGAAAGACTGATGCCATTCTTATTTCCTGTATCTTTGTACATGGTCTGGTCCCTCCTCTCTCACCCCTACTTTGGAAGATTTGGAGATTGATCCTTTATTCCTGACGTTCTGAAATTTCTTAATGACTTGGTATAGGGTCTCTTCTCCCCCTCCCACTCCCCGCCCCCATTTTCTGGGTACTTGGTGGAAACTTCAGTGTGAATATCATTACCCTTTAGAGTTAAGAGGAGCTCTCAGTGGCACAGTGGTTAAGAGCTCAGCTGCTAACCAGAAGGTCAGCAGTTTGAATCCAGCTGCTCCTTGGAAACCCTATGGGGAAGTTCTACTCTGTCCTATAGGGTCACTATAAGAGTTAAGAAATTTACTTGTGTATTTTGGATAATTTTTTTCTCCTTTGTTTGCTCTGTTTTTTTCTTCCTGGAATTCTTAATAACTGGATACCTGGATTTATTTCCCTAAGTCTTATATTTTCTCTCTTTCCCTTTTGTTCTATTTTCTGAGAAATTTCCTTGTCCTTATCTTCTAATCTAGTACATAAGGCAGTCCTGGGTTACAACTTACAGACAACTTCCCCTTTGTATAAATCTGCCCTCACTTTGAACCAACCTCTAAAACCAAACACTGCTGTCAGATTGTGACTTATAGCTACCCTATAGGACAGAGTAGAACTGCCCCGTAGGGTTTCCAAGGAGCAGCTGGTAGATTCAAACTGCCAACCTTTTGGTTAGCAGCTGAGCTCTTAACCACTGTGCCACCAGGGTTGCGAACCAACCCCTATTCGCAACAAATTCTTCATCACAATCACCTTCACTTGCTATACGTGCCGTTTTTAAATCATTGAAAAGGCTTTGAGCCATTTCTTGCACTAATGTAAGGCTAAATAAAAACCGTATGACTTACCTATAAATTTGACTTAGAGACAGAGGAATGGATCTCATTTGTAACCCGGGACCTGCCTGAACTGAATTTTTAAGTTTCCTTGCTCTCTGATCATTCTTTATAGAATCCTACTTATCACTGGTAGGATATTAACGATAGTTTTGCTTTTTAAAGTTTTACTCTATACTTGGCTTTGTTTATTTTCTCTAGTTTGTCTTTTTATTTGATCTTTATTTGGTCTTTTACGTTGAAGATTTTACTTATCTTGAGAGCTTTGGTCATTCATGATTAGTCAGCATGATACCTAATAAAAAGGGAAGCCCTGGGGAGAGAGGCTTGGATTCCTCAGCACGTGGTCTCACTGTAGGGTGGTTCAGAAGTGAGTTAGCCTCTTTACTGAAGAGACCCAAACTTTAGTATCTGGATGTCATTTTGGAACTGGTTTTCTCACTGAAGATTCCAGTTGCCTGTCTTGGGGGACATTGGCCTGGCAGCAAGCATTATTGAGACGGGCTGCATATTTTGTAGACATTGACTTACTGCAATGACTTTGAGACAGTGAGAAATATATTTTTCATCATGACCCACTCATACATGTAACTGAAACAAAATCATAAAGAATTACAGCTGCTCATTAAGAACCGTAATGAGAAGAAAAAGCGTGCATGTCTAAATGCTGTTTGTAGTAGCTAGGTAACATCGGTACAGAAGAGAATTTAACTTGCTTTGTTTTTCTTTTCCCTTAGTTGCAGGAAGAGGAAGAGGCCGAGGTAGAGGAAGAGGACGTGGCCGTGGTAGAGGAAGAGGGGGTCCTAGGCGATAATGTCTTTCAAGATTACTGTTTCAAAGTGATAAGTGATTTGGGATTTTTTTGTACAGGTTTTATTTGTTTATGTCAGTTTTTAATAAACATAAATGTGGGACAGAGTTGTCTATTGTCTATATCAAAGTTTTAGTAGTTTCATATGTATTCATTATATTAACACAGTAAGAGCAAAGCATTACTCCTAGACAGTCCCAGAGTAATTCCATTCTTAGATGATCATTTTTTAATCTTTTGAACTAAAATTTTTATTTTATGATAAATGTGTCTGGAATATACACTTTTTTACTTTACATGCACTAAAGATGCATTTTATTGCTTCATTCTGAGTCCATTCAGTAGAACCTACCCGGAGTAAAATAAGTTCTTCTCCTTTTTCTGAGGTTTATTCCAAGGAGACTTGGAAACTTGATAAAAGGTGATAGTCATTTTCTAAATCAGGAGTCAGTGATGTTGTTTTCATTGTTAATGATTTTTGTTTGTTTTATAGATTCCCAATAGAATATAGTTTTGAGTTTTTTTAGTTGAAACTGCAGATAATATTCCATTGCTAATCAGTTGTTAGTGTCAGAACCATCTGTTAATGTGGCATGTACCTGTCAGTGGCTCCTTAACAGGTACGTAAATCCTTCAAGAACGGAAGGACAAATACCTACTTTATTTTACAGCAAACTGGATTATTTCCAATTGTTAACAAGGATCTTGTTTGTTTGTTTTCATTGGTTAGGCTTAATGAAAAATACCGCTTCAGTATATGCAATTCCTTGTCAAACTCACTAACATTTGTTTCTGGGCTAAGAAAAAAAAGGTAGTGTTGAGGATGTGGGGGAACTAAATTTGTATTTTCATTTAATTATGTATTGGGTTTTCTGTGCTTTTTTTTTTTTTCCCCCAATGAGAAGGAAATTTTCTACGAAGATCATTACCTAAAAAATAAGGTTTGGGCTCTGTAAAAGGGTTACTTAAATTGAGAGATAGCAAGAGCATTGTGTGTATGTTTGTATATTTGTTTTAAAGAAGTTACTATAAACATTTGAATATATATATTTTAAAAAAATCTTGTCTCATCAAGATAAAACAAATGCTTCTTAATTATTCCATAGTTGACATGTTTCTTCTATTCATAAGTCATTGAAGCTATCCCATAGTGATTAGCCATTTTATCACAGATTATCTAGCAGTGGTTAGATAATTTTATTAAAAATCCTGAGATCAAAAAATGAAGGGGTGTCATTGTATGAAATCCATGATGATTAAGACAACTTTATGTGAATATTCTTTAATAGGAAATATTTTTTAAAAAAACAAAACTATTGCCATCGAGTTGATTCCAACTCATACAGACCCTATAGGACATAGGGTTTCCAAGGAGCACCTGGTGGATCTGAACTGCGGACCTTTTGCTTAGCAGCCGAACTCTTAACCACTATGCCACCAGGGTTTCCAAACATAGTAAAGTTAATTCCACATGATAGGATTTGACTAATATGTAACTTTCCTCCATATATTTTGCAAATAAAAAAGCTAGGGGAATAAATTCCTGGATTTCATTCTTTTCTGTCTTCTAATCTTATTTTCTGGTTGGTTGCACTCAGGCAGAAGCCAGAAGGCAAGGAAGCCCAATGATGTAGCAAGTTGAAGAGTAGATTTGAAGGGGGCAAGCAGAAAAGACCCCACACAAGTAGTAAATAAATATATTAGCTGGCTCCTGCCCTCACAGAGCTTATAGGCCTCAGTGGGAAGCAGCTATTAAACAAACATGTCGATAAATAATTGCAAATTAGAATACAACAAATAGAAAGTGCTTACGTTCTCTTGTTTTAAAAACACTAAATAGTGGCAGCTCATTTTGATGTTAAGCCAAATACCATGTAACAAAATTTTAACTATATTTTGAGAGTTTTAATATCTAGGATGTTTGCAGTGTGAAACCAGTCTAATAACATGGTTTAAGTGTAAGAGTAAACCATTGCGGTTACTACTTATTCCACTAGAAGTCATCATTTGAAGATAAAACTATTTGAACTGATAGCCATAATTAGTTATAAAGGAAGCCCTGCAGTGAACAGAAACCAGACTAGTCTGTAGCATGCTTCTCTGGCCAAAAACCAAAAGCATGTATTATGAGTATAGATAGAACACCGTAAGTGAAATACAGAAAATCAAAATTCACAATGTTTTTAACCTATTATAATCATGTTGGGTTATGCAAGGATGGCTTTAGTATTTTGAAATGTATTAATGTAGTAATTAAACAAAATTCATATGATCCTCTATAATAGATGTCAAATGTCAAAATGACATAGAACACTCATTTCTGAAAAACCTAACCTAGATGTTAACTTCCTTAACACAATGAAGAATGTCTTAAACCAATACCTCACATATTCTAGAGACATTTCAATTAAAACAGCAACAAAAAAGGGTAAATCTAGTATTAGTCTTTATTATTTAATGTGAAAATTCTGATGGATCCACAAAATAAGAGGTATACTTTTGAAGGGGAAAAATTTTTTTGCAATATTTTATTCTTTCCGTATAGGAACATGATAGTGTTCCATTTTTCACACTAGCTTTTCCTTTTAAAGTTTTATTTATGTATTCCATATATTTTGAAGAAGGTTAGTATGTCTTAGGCTGAGTTCGCTAGAGAAGCAAAACCAGTAAAACATATAAGTATGTGTGTATATATACGTGTGTGTGTATATATATACACACACACGTATATACACACACACACACATATATAAAGAGATTTTATCAAGAAAATGGCTCACGTGATTGTAGAGGCTGGAACATCCCAAGACCGTGAATCAGGATAGAGGCTTCTCTGGATTTACGTAGCCGCAGGGGCTGGTGAACTGAAGATTGGCACATCGGAGAGCAGGGCTCTTGCTCACAGGCTGTGAAGATTGACGAATCCCAAGATTGGCAGGCAAGACCACAAGGCTGCCTCCTGATTGAGACGAACAGGAGGCAGCCGCAGGATCCAGAGCGAGCAAAAAGCCAGAAGGTGTACTTATATTTGGATGCAGGCCACACTCCCAAGGAAACTCCCTTTCAACTGATTGGCTACTCACAGCAAATTCCATCATGGGGATGATCAGATATAAACCCTGAGAATCGTGGCCCAACCAAGTTGACACACAATCTTAACCATCACAGTATGTAATACGAGATTCAGTTTATAGGAAAAGAATAGCAAAGTCTAGATGTCAAATACCTAAAAATTTTATGTATTTTGGTACTGAAGTGAAAGGATATTTTATCCTACTCTGTTTACTTGAATTTTAACTTTCATCTATTCTAGGATGAATTTTTGAAATATTTTAATATCTGAAATTGGGATGCATTTTAAATAGCATACATTTAGATTATGGCATCAAACTTAAATTGGCTTTTTTTTTTTTTTCCTTTGTTAGTACATAAAATAATGATGCATCTAAAAATTGATATCTTAGATTCAGTGAGCTATAGAAATTCTAGTCTGGTTCATTGGACTCTTAAGTATAGCCAACGTGAGCTACTACTGTTTTGTCTTTAAGTGATGGTATACATTTAGCTTGCAAGAAATAAAAAGATTTTTTTATGGTTTCTAGAACCTTAAATGTTTTGTTTTTATGTACTTTTGGGCAATAGCAAATATAAAAACATCAGCTCTGGTCTTTTTCTTTTTTTTAATTTCTGAGTCATAAACCAAGAATGGTGCTATATTTTAGGGTAGGAAAACTTAACAGGGTAAACATAGGAATTCTCCCTGTTTTTAGGTTTAATGCAGTTATCCCAATGATTTTTAAAAAATACTCTTGATATATCATCAGCTAATATGTAGAGAATGCTCATTCTGTACCAGGTTATTCCAGTTAATTTATAGACAATACAATTGCCATAAGAGGATTTTTTTTTTTTAATTGTGCTTTAGGTGAAAGTTTACAGCTCAAGTTAATTGCTCATACAAAAATTTATACACATTGTTATGTGACACTAGTTGCAGTCCCTATAATGTGACAGCACACTCCCGCTTTCCACCCCGGGTTTCCTGTGTCCATCCAACCAGCTCCTATCCCTTTCTGCCTTTTCATCCTGCCTCCGGACAGGAGCTGCCCATTTAGTCTCATGTATCTGCTTAAACTAAGAAGCACACTGTTCACGAGTATTATGTTTTATAGTCCAGTCTAAAATTTGTCCGAAGAGCTGGCTTCAGGAATGGTTTTAGTTCTGGGTTAACAGTCTGGGGGCTATGTCTTTGAAGGTTCCTCTAGTCTCAGTCAGACCATTAAGTCTGGTCTTTTTACGTGGATTTGAGTTCTGCGCTATACCTTTCTTCTGCTCCATGAGGGACTCTGTTGTGTTCCCTGTCAGGGTGGTCATTGGTGGTAGCTGGGCGCCATCTAGTTCTGGTCTCAGGCTGATGCAGTTTTTTTTTTTTTTAATTGACAATATTAACTACTGTTCTGTCATCTGATAGTGTTGACTCTGTGCTAGGTTCTATGCTAGGCCCTTTACAGGTTATTTCTTTTAACCCTCAGACCAGCGCTGTGTGGCAGATGGGGTTTTCCATTGTCAGTGCGAAAACTTAATGCCTAGAGAGGCTAGATAACTGCCTAAAGTTGCAGTTATGAAGCAGCAGAGCTGGAATTTAGATGCAAGCCGGTGTCCAATAATCCTATGCTCTTAACTTGTAGACTGTTATTTATTCTGAAGAGTGAAGAGACTATAGGAGATTAGTCATTTTTCTAGAATAGGAGTGGGGGAGGCAGGTGTGGAACCTAACCTTATGAGATACCAAAACATTGTAAAATACTAAAACCAGAGGAAATTATCTTGATACTTAACGCAGTTTTAAGACAAAATTAATTTTTAATCAAGTGAGTAATTTTTTATAAGTGCTTATTGTCATAAAGGTCGCAGACCATTTGAGATAGGCTAATGGGAAGATAAATTGAAAAACTCTGGAAAGCAGTTTGACAAGATACATCGAAGGCCTTAAATATTTTTGTGTACTTTGAGCCAGTAATTCCATTTCTGCAGAGTCCAAGGGAAAAAGTTGACAAGTTTAGTCATAAGGATACTCATCACAGTTCTTAATTAAAAAAGAAGAC